GGCTTCATTTCAGACGGATAACATTCATGAATGCTCCAATGCAGCGCCAGTTGTTGGAAATTATTTGAATTCTGGGACGCCAGTTCCGACTTTAACAACTATGCACAGCAGTTGTTTTCACTGTGGGGCGCCAGTCCCGTATTCAACAACTGTTGTAGCGAATTGTGTGAATTGTGGGGCGCCAGTCTCGTATTCAACTGCTTTTCATGGTTTCAATAGTGGGGCGCCTGCCCCGTATTCGACATTTGTCCATACACCACCACTTGCTGCTGCTTCAAATGCCGAACAGTGGCCAATTTTTGCGGCGCCAATCGCTAACTCAGGTGGCAATAATGCAGCAACCGTAGTAGCAGCAGCAACAGCCGCAGCGGTAGCAGCAGCAACAGCAGCAAGACAAATGGCAACAGCAGCAGCAGCAGTGAGAGATGCGGAAGTAGCAGCAGTAGCGGGAAGTGCAGCAGTAGCAGCAATAGAAGTAGCGTCGCAGACAACAGCAGCGGCGGCAACAGCATCAGCGGCAGCGTTAGCAGCACTAAGAGCGATAACTGCAGCAGATGCATCAACAGCTGCAGTAGCAGAAGCAGCGCCGGTACCAACAACAGCTGCGCCTGCTGTTGTTATCGGAGGCGACGAAGAACGGTCAACTTCTGGAACGCTACTGCCGCAGTGTTTTGATCGTTGCGCAAATTCCAGTACTGTACCAACACCCACAGCGTCAGCTAATATAATCGGAAGTGGTGAAACACGCTCAATTTTTGGGACGTCAGTTCCGGATCCTGATTCGAATTCTGCAGCAAAACCCACAACGTCAGCTGCTGTTATCGAAAGTGGTGAAGAGCGTTCAGCTCCTGGGACGCCAGTCTCACAGTCTGTTGATTATCATGCAGATTCCAGTTCTGCCGAAACACCCGAAGTGTCAGCTGTTGCTTTCACGGATAGTCAGGAAAGACGAACGTCTGTGACACCAGTCGAGCAAACAGTGGATCGTCGTTATCCAGCATCAGGTACCTCCTGCTACTATCAATTGACAACCGCAACGCCAGCTCTACGTCAAACAGCACAGTCCTCATCGTCACCAGTACGCAGCATCGCTCGTGTAACAAGCCAGCCAGCGCCACCTGCTCTTCCGAAAAAACGAAACTTCAACAGGAAAAGTGTGGAATACAGTGCACCGATTAAATTAAATCACTGCGCCTCCTACACTGTTATTCAGACCACAGTGGCGCAGGCTATTGCAGTACTTTCACCTGGCCAATCTCCTGAGGTAACTGGTATAGCTCCGGCACTTCTAGCTATCACTGATGCCACCGCACTCCACTACGCAGTGCCTATTGACTATAGAAATGCTGGTTTCAGGAATCTCCAAATTTTCGACGAAATCGCAGTCTTGGAATATTTTGCCGTTCGCATCGCCGGAAATGAGCTACCATTTCAAGCCATTTCGCCAGACTTCCAGTTGGCAAATTATATCAAGGCTAATCATGTCAAAGCGTCTGCCACAATGGCCTCTGGTACGGTCAATCGACGCCCTCTGACCAATCAGCCGACCATTTCCTTGGTGTACAATTGCCTCAACCGCAGAACGAAGTCCGGTGCCCAACAGAAAGCTGTCCAATTTGTCGGCCGGCATGCTGAAACCCCCACAAAGGCGGAGGAAAACAAAGTCATTGCTGACCGTCAGGAAATAATCCAGCCTGGTGACTTCATCTGTGCGAATTATCTGGACCTCCCACGAGGAACACAAGTTCTTGGCACTTGCTTCCTTCCGCCATACTTCGCCCGCCAAAATGAATTCAGCATCGTCGACGACACTGACCACCTCACCATTCTGAACTCCTTAGTGACACTTGATCAGACGGCGCCTTCTCTTTCCCCTGATCCATTTTTGCTGGAATCCCACTCCGAAAACGTGAACATCAAGGAAAAGGTACGCGCATATGAGGATATCCTACTTGCCACAACCAGCGTCCAAAAACACCGCACCCTATGCGCACTGTACGCCACAAAATATTCTGGGACCGATTATACTCTCGAACCTAATCGACTTTCGCTGCATATTCCAATTTCACAAAACGCGAAAGATATCAGTCATCGATTGCGATTCTGGACCGTCAACACGCTTATGTGTGTCACAAGTGTAGCTTTGCTAGGTCCAGGAGAAGAACCGCACAGTCGCATCCAGAAAGAAGGTTCGGCTTTATGTGCTAAAGGCTACATCAGTGTCATTTCGGTCACAGAGGAAGGGCAAATGGAAGTTGTCATCGAATTTGATGAAGAAAATTACCAGGCACTGGATCGCGCAGAACCTAGCATGCATCAAGCTGCCAAGACTATCTACGTCCAGCCCGACCCTGCGCATACGGGTTTAGAATTTCGCCAGACACAACTCCGCTGTCGTGCGATCTCCTCCGCCCTTTCTCCTAGAACTTCTAATCGTCGGGAGATATTACACTCTCTCCTTGGCTTACCGTTGCCCTTCTCTTCTCCGTCAAGCAATCTTGTTCACGCCGGTGACTTAACCGAAGAACAAAATGCCGTCCTTAGCGAACTAAAGAGTGGTGTCCCCATTATATACCAGCAAGCTCCAGCTGGCACGGGCGGAACCTATGTCATCGCCGCTTATGTCCGGGAGCTCCTCTCCACCTGGACCGACGAAGACACCAATATTTTGGTACTCGCCGCAACAATCAACAATGCTGCAATCAACATTGCCATCGCAGTCCTTCGTCTCATCCCCGACCTCCCGCTTACTCAAATGATTTTCTTGCAAAGCCTAGCTGCAGAAAAAGTCTACAGTGTTGTCAGAGATGAAGAGCACGACCGATGGAAGGAACAGCGAGTTCCAGAGATACTGCATATTCTTTACGAAAGCCAGGCTGTCCCCGAAGAAATTACTAGATTCGTCAAAGGATATATTGCCGACCGCCTCCCGCACCAAGGCAAGCAAGGTGAAGATCGTTGCGCTTTTCGGATCGTGCAGGGCCTTCACTTTCCTCGCATCATTGTAGGGACCACTGCAATGATCTGCAACTTTTTGCCTGTTCTCCGGCGCCTTGCGACTCATCTGGCTTTCGACCAGACGGGCCTTATCCCGGACGGCGATCTTGTAACCATGCTTCCAGCCTTTTCCCGGCTTCAGCAAGTCTTCCTAACTGGCGACAAACAGCAGCTGCCAGCTTATCACGCATATGTCCCCGATGAATTTCTCCAGTACGGATTCGAGGGAACATTGGAGACTTTGTACCGCCGGAAAGCAATTAAACGCATGAATCTGACCAAATCCTATCGGGCACATCCCATACTTACTGAATGTCTGTCTCTCTCTTCCTACAACGGAGAGCTGCAGACTGCACTAACGGCGGAGGATCGATCGCTTGTTACTAATTCCAAATTTCCTCTGCCAGTACAGGCGACTCCTCTTGTTCTGCTCGATGTTCCTGGTTGCAGCACAACAACCGGCATTTCCCAGTGCAACACCGAGCAAGAAAGTGCCGCCGCCTTGCTTCACCAGTATCTCAGGCAGCATTTCCCTGATCCGCACATCGCCGTTTTATGCTTCTACACCGGCAGTCGAGATGCAATGATGCGCAGGATTGACAACAACAACACGGAAATCTGTACCATTGATGGATTCCAAGGAAAAGAGGCGGACATCGTTATCCTCCTCACGACACGCACCAACTGCTCTACCAGCAGCACGATCGATTTCTCGTTCTTAGCTGATCCACAACGAGTTACGGTGGCTTTATCTCGGGCGCGACATGCGTTATTCATTATTGGTGATTTCCTGCTCTTAGACAAATTGCCAATATGGCATGCGTACGTGGAGAAAGGCACGGAATACACACCGATATTTGGTCAGTCATACATTGGCAGTATGGAGCATGGATTCGACCGACGCGGCGTGGTTCTCATTGATGAGAGTGGCAACGAATTATTCAGCAACTATTTGTTCCAGCAGAACGTACGATGGCAGCGCCCTTAAGGTATCGGTGATATTCTTTGCGCAGTTTTGAAAATGTGTTTTTGGCTCTAGTTGCATGCTGTGCAGTGTATATAAATTGTTTGTTTTTGGCGTGTACCTAGCCAAGCATTTTCGATTGCTACTTAAATCTGAACAGCTCCAAAACCGAATTGAAAGTACAAATAAAAGGCGGAGAAATCGAAATCCATTGCGTAATTTTTCGTTTGTTTTGTTCGCAATTACACCTTACCTGACTAACTTTATACACTCGTAATTATACATTATCATGAGTGATGATCACAGCTTAGTAATTTTTCCGGCCAGCAATGTATAACACAGGATCTTTGTAGGCTTCCTCTCTAGACGAAACATTACGCCGCCCGCTTCTATGGAGTTCCGTTCAAAGAGGGAGGCGGACCTGCCTTGCTGTTGATTTTGTAAGAGCAGTTAATGTACTGTTACGTAATGCTGAAATTAATGAATTTCGTTAAGGGATATAAAGAGATTGTGTGTTAAATCTTGACATGACAGGCAAAAATAAAAATGACCGGGAAGGGAAGCCGAAACAGCACGATTACAGAAGGTGCGAAGCATACTAAAGGTGTTATAGTTGAGCAAGAAAATGGGACAAATTTACTGCACAAATTATTGAACAATCCGTTTTGATTACTGAAAGCCTAAAAACTTACCTGGTAGTGGTGCGTCCGAAAAAAACAAAGCATAACAGATTAAATAACAAGTTGCATTGTCGCTACAAAAAGAATTTGTTGTTGCGCGAATGGAAAAAGAATTGGGTGCCGCCGAAGTAGGGTTTTATTGTCGAATTTGGTAAATGAAAGGGTTGTCGCCTCAAGAGAAATTTAATGTTGTCGAAGCTGACACTGAGTTGCGGCGGCAAAAGGACTTCGTTGTCAGAGTAGGAAAAAGAAGTGGCTATTGTTGTGGAAGGGCTTTATTGGTAGATGATGAAGCTTTCGCCACAAAAGGAATTAAGAAAGTTAAAGTAAAAGACAGAAGACGCGGCTGCCGCCGTTATTATGGAAGCCCGTGAATGAACCCAGCTGCAGCCCTACAAAGACTTCTGGATGTGGCTGAAGCAAACCGCTGTTCTGGCTGAGGAAAGTTTCCTCTAGCAACTTCAGTTCCGAAGTTACAAAACTGTCTACCAAACGTCGCCGTTCGCGATGCTCAGAAAGTCTCAGTTCTCTAGTAGCTTCAGTTTCGAAATTACAAAACTGTCTACGTCAAATTTCACATGTTCGTCCGCGAGTTACAAAGTAGCTGGGAAGCTCAATTTACTTTCACGATTTCATCAGTGGGCTGCAAAATTACAGCTTTCTACTTCTTCGTCAGCTTAATTCTCGAGTTGGCATGACGCCAATTTGAACTTTGACGTGCACGTACGTGGGACCTAACAGTGTGTGAGGGCTGAATTTAAAACCTTTGGGATGGACATGAGCAAAGAACATCTTCGTGAAGTTTCAGCTTCTAGCTTGCGCCGTTCCTGAAATTACTTTCCCCAGCAGAAAAACTTTCACGTACCCATACGTTAGAATCGCTGGACAAAAGCGGTCATTTTTGGGAACAATAGCCCGAATATAGGTGTAAGCTGCCAAAATCTCAGTCTTGTAGATTTCGTAGGTTTCGGAATGAGAACTTGGTACGAACACATGTACATACATACATACACATACACACACACACAACACACACACATACACACACACTCAGCCCCTTCGCGTTTTTACATGCACAGATGAAAAAAAAAAAAAGAAAAAAATGTATGTTGACTGGATTCTCCATGTGTTTGTCCACTGGTCATAGTGATACGCAAAGTTAGAAAAACTCTGAGTACAGGATTTTTCTAAAACTCAGTCTTGGCTTCTCGGTGACTCAAACTCTGATATCAATATACTTCATCGTATTTTCAATTGCATTCTAAAGTACGGTTTTGCGCTTTAATGATATTTCTTTTGTATCTTGAAGAAAGTGCTCAAATAGAACAGCTTGGAGATTTATCCATATATAAAGCATAAAAACAGTGTAGACAAGGCCTAGAGGGATTAGGAAAAAGAACGGTTTTAAATTCCTGTGCCGTTATGAACAGAAGCTAGACTGCCAGATTCCTTAGTTTTAACAATTTTTTTTTTGACTCAGAAAAGTAGATCATGAAATGTTACCACGCACCTTTTCATGAAATAGGGGAATAACTTCGAAATCGAAGTCTTACACCCTGGTCGCTAGCCGGACCAGCTACTGCTTAAATTATTCAGTTATGCTAATACCAAATTTTTTACTGAAAAAGTCATTTTTCTCTTCAATTGTCACTTATTTTGCGATCAAAGTTGGTGAGCTCTTTCGAAATATTACTTTTTCATGAAGCTTCTCAAGGTACTACAGCTGGGCGTGAGCGATAATCTACTGCAATCTAGGCAGATATTCAGCCGATGTGTGTCTCCGATGTGACGTTGAGATCTGTGAGCTAAATTAAAGCAAAAAAAGAAAAACAGTATTTATTAGTCGGTTTGCAGTATCATATTGCAAATATTGGGAAT